CTTCCCGTTTCTTCCAATTTCCCTGGTTGTCACAGGTGTTCTCCACGGCGGCGGACGGGCAGACGTCGGTGGAGATTGTGGTGTGTCAGGGAGAGAGAGAGATGGCCCGAGACAACAAGGACCTCGGCCGGTTCCAACTGGTGGGTTTACAACTTCAACCGCCACTGTAGTGGGGGAATCACCAATCACCCTTGTTGTGTGTTCTCTTTGATGTGCAATCATTAGGTTGCCCCAGTTATATATCTTAGACCTCTTCACATGTGAAGCGTTTGGACTGCATGCGTGGCTGCTAGGAAATCGTTCGTATGATATCATGTATAGACTTGAATAGGTGGCCATAATATTCACACACATTTCTGGCTTCAGCCTCACCGTATTAGGTGTACCCCATGAGTTGGTATGGTACTACAATAGTGTGTGGCAGTGATGAGTCTATATAGAGAGCCTCAAATGGCAAGTTGAGAACCGTACGTGCCTATGAATATGATACAATTCCCAGAGTAGAGAGGAACAGGTCAAGCTGGCACGAGGTAGACCTGTTGTGATCTGTCTTCCTGCCTGCGTGTGTGTGCGTGCACGCGCATGCATGCGTGCATGTCTGTGTGTGTGTGAGTGTGTCTGTGTGTGTGTGAATGTGTGTAACTGTGTGTAGGTTGGTATTCCGCCAGCCCCGAGAGGTATCCCTCAGATTGAGGTCTCCTTTGACATCGACGCCAATGGCATCGTCAACGTATCTGCGAGGGACAAGGGAACTGGCAAGGAACAACAGAGTAAGTCTGGTTCCCTGGTGTACGTACCTTATACTAGTACAATAGGTCACCCTTTACTTGTATGCAATTCTCCGCTTTACTCACCCTTTACCTTGCTGTGCTTATCTCGCCACCTTTGACCGCACATGATCTCAAAACCCTTTTCCTAGTCTACAGCTCTTCCTTCCTCTCCTCTTGTATACCTCTTCCTTACGCCCCCCCCCTCTTCCCTCTTTTCTCTTCACTCCGCTCCCCTCTCCTCCCTCCAGTTGTAATCCAGTCAGGAGGAGGTCTCAGTAAGGACGAGATCCAGAACATGGTGAAAGAGGCGGAGAAATACGCGGAGGCCGACCAGGAGAGGAAACTGAAAGGTGGAGGCCGCCAACGCCACCGAGAGCATAATCCACGACATTGAGACAAAGACAGAGGAGTTCAAGGATCAGCTGCCTCCTGATGAGGTGGGTTTGAATGGTCTATCGTCGTTACTTTGGGTTTACTGTTTTCTGCTGTTTTATTAATGTCTAGTCTACATATATATACCATTGTATTGAACTTGCCCACCGGACACCAGGTGACCAATCTGAGAGACGAGGTGGCGAGAGTGCGTCAGGTACTCACCAACAAGGACGAGGAGAGTGCAGAGTCCATCCAGAAGGCCGGAGCCGACCTCCAGAAGGCATCGCTGAAGCTCTTCGAGGTGGCCTACAAGAAGGTCTGCGTCCCTTTCTGCCACCGTATTATATTACCATAAGTTGTAAACTTTTGACGCGTAGAATCCTTCTCGATTCTTAGCGCGTGAGAAGTTTGCAGTGAGAAGAGTTTGCGCGAATGAAGTCCTCTGCCAACGCCATTGGTTAATCCTAAATTTTGCAAGGAACACTATATAGGAACATCCCTGAAGAGTTTCCCAATCTGCACACTATATATTCTTCTGTTGCTTGCCACTTCAACCGTTCTCTTGCCTGTGCAGATGGCCGAGGAGAGAGAGGGAGGAGGAGGAGGGGAGAAGGGGTCGGGGAGTTCCGACACGAGCGATGGGGAAGTCCGCGACGCCACCGAGGAGGAGAAGAAGAAAGAATAGCAGCACGAGGAAGACGAGAGTTGTGATGTTTCCACACGTCCTCTTCCCAAATCAGCCACGCAACATTCTTAGTGTCGAATCATGCTGTCGATATATATTATGTGTGTATATGCATTCATATTATTACAGCTGCCATTCTGAGATTAGCCAAGTGGATATATATACACAGTGTGCGAGTAAGAGTATTTGCCATGATTCCACATGTAGTGTAATTATTATACTGCGGATCCACATACAATTCGTGTAATGTTTAAATTCCGCCCATGTCTTTACCCACTCGCTGTTACTCTGATATGACCTTATAATACTGTGTGAGCTATCTAACAGTCTGGTGGTATGACTATATAGTGTCGTATACATCAGGAGGCGGCCACTGTCTGTAGTCTGGCCAATCTCTGGTTCTCCAGGTGTTTGGCATGGTTCCAGTGAGAGAGAGTCAGCTCACTGCACCCGTAGCTCAGGCTCACCAGTCTGGGTAACACACACACGTGATTATAGAATTCTGGTGCCAAAGCTGATAATACACACAAATCGAATCTAAATTCTAGGCTGATAACACACTATACATGCTGTATATACGAACAAAACTGTCAATATCACATTAGAATTGAATTTGCTAAAAGTTAGCGAAATGTTCTACCACCAAAATTTAAATACCACAATTACGACGTAATGTATACAGCCTTGCCCAAGTATGTAATAGGGTCAGGGGTTAGGTTAATTAATGGTATATACTGTGCCTGGTTACCTGGCGAGGCAGAGAAGTTGATGAAACTTGTCGGCAGTCATGTTGGCGTCAGTCCTCCTCATGGCCACGAAATCCTCTTCCACGGCCTGCGACGAGACACGAGACAGTTAGACACACAGTTGTGTATGGCACAACTACGTACCAGGAACATTCCCGGGAGAGAAGCCTTTTGTAAAACCTCTGAAATATATAAAGGACACCTCATTATAATGGATATATACTTGGTTCTGCCCATTCATCTGAGCGTGCAATACTTCTAAAAGTCCTCAAGTAAATCAGTATACTTAGTGGCTATGAGTTTGTCCACCAAAATCTCTCTGTTCTGAATTTTCTCCCTGCAATGTGTCCTGTACAGAATACTAACCTTCTGTACGTCGGGCGGCAGCTTGTATTGCAGCATTCTGTGGAGGGAGAGGTAGAGGCGGGCTGCATTTAGCTGCTGCTCCGTTGGAGTAGGTGACGGGAGGGAGGAGGAGGAGGAGGGGGAGGAGGAGGGGGAGGGGGAGAGAGGGAGGACACATTCCACCTACACCAGGAACGAGATAGGGGGAAAGATGAAAGAAAAGTGAAAGCGAGATAAGGGAAATGGCAAAAGGTACTCATGAGCGAGACAGGTAAAAGTTAGATAGGAGAAAGGCGAGAGAGGTACAGGCCCCATCACTCACCTTCAGAATAGACTTCTTTCCTTCAGTCAGTACCATAACAGGCTGTGGGTATATATATTGGATTGACAAGTTGATCAACTCACAGCGTCATGCAATTCCCATTGCACACCTACCACACAAACTCATAGATACGAACGAACGTGAGTATATATCTCAATCCAGACACCCAATGGGATAGAATATTTGTTCTTTTTGACCACAAGAACTACTAAGGTGTTCTTGTGCTCATAGGTAACAATCACAGGCCACACCCACTCTCACGAGGCCACACCCACTCTCACCAGGTCGCACTTAAACTCGGTAGTGTGAAACTGAAAGTCATACGTCACTGTTTGATGCTGAATCACATGACCAAGGGCCGCCAGATTGCGAACTCCGACCTCCGACAGTCGGCCGGGCTCGAGAGCGGTCTCGTCGACCAGGAGGTGTGTCCCTGGGATCAGCTGGAGGGCTCCGGCCACAAGTCTGTTGGCAGAGTAGTCCTTACGTGGAGAGAGACGCCAGGTGTTCATGACTGACAGACTCAGTGGCAGCAGGACACTCTGCCATCAGAGGGGGAGGAAGGGGTGTGTGTGGAGAACTCACAATCACTTATCTTATGCTTGAGTAAAATACATTATCATGTACTGTAGAGTGTGCAATTTTAACAAGGAGATAGCGGTTACAGTATCACAATTATGTGGCTATGTACACGCTCCATGCAACGACTGCCGAATTAGGGGAAAAAGCCACAGTTCACCTGTGTCAAGAGCTGTGATAGGAGTGTGTGGAGAGAGGAGGGAAAGGAGGGAGGTGACGGGAGGAGGGGAGGAGGAGGAGAGGTGGGGGTGGGGGGACAGTTGGTGAGGTTGAGAGCAAACTTTCCGAGAGCCAGGACCTCGCTGCGACCGTGGACGGAGGAGAGGAGGTGGAGGAGAGAGAACTCGGCCGCCAGACTGTCTCCGAGGAGAGCAGACGTCAGCAGCGAGAGAACGAGGTCACGTGACTCTGCCACACCCCCAAATTTGCTGTGGTACACTGCGAAGGGAGGAGTGTTTTAACAAAACAATGTCTGTGGAGTCATTCTTTCGTCTCCCGGTGGTAACTTCCCTCCTATATACCTTCCGCTTATCTCCCCTCTCGCGTCTTTCCCCCTATGCCTATCTTTAGCTTTAGCTTTTTTCTCTATTTCACTCCTACCTTTCAACTTTTTCTTTTATCTCGCTTCTACCTTCTACCGTTCTTCTACAGTATCTCCCTCCTATCTTCCGCCTTGGTGTTCCATCTCACCTCACCTTTTCGCCTGTCGTCCATGACATTTAAACCTTTCTTGTGATTATAGCTAGATGTGTGTGTTGTACCGTTACCAATCATACCATCTCTCGGTAGAGGTAGTGGCAGCTGGCGCGGAAGGAGAGGGTTGGTGTGGGAGAGTGATGTCACCAAGATACAGTGGAGGCGTGGCACCAGAGAGGGAGGGGGACAGTGGGCGCTCCGTTCGGCCGCTGTCTCCCCCACCACTCCTTCCTCCCCGTCCTCCCCTCCCTCAAAGAGGGTTAGGACGGGCTGTTTACTGAGGACACCCACACACTCAACAGCGGACGTCACACGGAAGGCCTCAACACTCTCACCATACACCTGTACACAAAACAAAGACACCGCAATAGTAGATTTTTCGTTGGGGAAAATATTTGTTCATTCCGTTCTCCAAAGAAATATTTATTCACTAAAAATCAGGATCAATATTATAGGCATCCGACAAATATGTGATTTCACTGAACTTGTAATTGCAAGCAACAGTTTTCAATTACAATTAAATCCTACCAAAACTTTGTAGCCCATGCTGTGCAATGCAAAAGGCACCTTGAGTAGACAAGGCAGTCCAGTCTCGTTGGGAAGAGGGAAGTTCAGGTCTGGCTGACCTCCGGATCGCCTCTCCCCATTGGCCCCGACCCCCTAGCAACGACCCCTCCTCTCGGGCTCTCTTGGTCTCCGGGCCCCCTCCCCTCTCTTTCTCTTCTACCTCCATCTCCCCCTCTCCCTCATCCTCCTCGTCCTCCAGCTGCCGTTTCCCCCGCTGAGATTGTTGCAGCTGTTGGCAACTTTCTCTCACAGGATCGACGGCTGAACACTGGCCATAAGCCTGAAAATGGGAGATAGCTCAGGAAATGTTTCAGATTTGCCGAGAGGTTGGTTGTCTGCAGATATATAGCAGGATACGTTCCTAGTCCATTCCGTCTGGGCTGGAATGGGGACACAATAGAGGGTGTGTCTGTCTCCAGTGACATTGTCAGGGCTGTCATCGTCCACGTGTATGCCCAGGCTATAGAGGGAGAGGAGACATTCACAACACAGACATAATATACAGCTACGTTTCAGTGGACTCAGTTACCCATGCATATATACACATGCAGCAGACTTTTACATACACACCAAATCAAGGTGCACAATCAGGAAACTCTAAATCTGGAACAGTGTAGCTGGTCAAAATATTTTTGCATGGAACGATGAAACCAAATTATGTGTACAGCATAATTTACATCACTCACTGGCAGGTCTAAGAGATCTCTATACATACCACAACATCTCAGCTGCATGTGGGAAACGAGAGACAACGGACTAAATGATCACCGGTCAGAGCATATCACGGCGCATGAATGAAAATGTGAGCTAAAGCACAAGCTTACATACAATAAGTAGAAAATCAGATGCCGAGAGAGTACTGTATACACTCTTGGTTTGAACCCCTCACCTGGTGGCCAGTGGTGGAGTTGACAGCGGTGTAGTACTTGAGGTAGAGCTCGGGGCCAAACTGGTCCTGGACCATGGCTCTGTATCTCACCAGACTCCCGTCCCCCAGCTGCTCCAGTGGCGTCACATTCAGACACGGAATCTGTCGAACACGGGCATCGAATGAGTATATAGCTACCAACCCCTCCCAGTTTTGAAGTTGGATCCCTTTAGTGCTACTGGCAGCGGGGAAGTTACACTTATACCTTGGTCCAGGCTTCCTCGGACTGCAGGAGTTCAGTGAAGTGCTCCACTACCCTCTGCTCGGCGCCATCTCTGGACGCTGCCGCACTCTCCTCTGCATGCAGAGGCCAGTTTTACACCACACTATAATTATAGGTAGCTAGCTACAGCCATAAATTCTCTCCTAGAGCTCGACACGCGCCGTGGTTACAAAGTTAACCAACCGTGCAGCTTCCGTACGACTTTTAGCGGTGCCGTAATCCACTCCTCTGCTACCAGTACAGGCATCTCTCTCTCGATCAGCAGCCACGATATCACACACACGCGCGCGCGCCACTCGCGCATGTGCATGACGCATGCGCACAATCCGAAGAGTGTAACTAAAAGTGCAAACCCACCCCTCGGCGAAAACTGGGGATGCGCGGTACCGCTAATTGATGGGCTGGGCTGCTATTAGTACGCGTTTACTCGTGGTCTCCCGCCAGAGAGTCTGACACGGGCTAGCAGATAGTATGCGAGAGTCGATACACGCCCTTCGTTGAGACTTCTTGTGCCTTCAAGATACACAGAGCAAGCGGACCCGGTCGAAGTTAAAAAGCCTATTGAAAATATAAGCGCATGCGCATTTTCCGCGGCGATAAAAATGGCCGACTACGCTAGCCGCAGAATGCCGGAAGCGCTCTAGCTTTGCAACGGGGCATTTTCAGAGAAAACCGCCTTTATTTTCTGACCTTCGTCGCCCGTTAAGTAGGTCGTATCCTTTGTGAGACGAACAAACACCCGAGAAGTGAGATTGAGAGTAACAGACACACAGGACAACTACAGTACCCTCGCTGCGCATGCGCGCCGAGGGTAATTACACTGCACAGGCAGGCATATTATATAGGGTGAAATGCGCACTAAGATTAAAACATCAATTTGTACACATAATAGACGGGCGTGTGGGTGTGGTCAGTAGATGGGGGGGCACTGATATTTAAAAAATTTCAGTTTGAGTTCATGGGATGAGTGGGTCATCATCTTCAGCGTCCTGAGCAGCATCTATAGAGAGAGACCAACAACTTATGATAGGGAGGACGGGGAGAGGGAGAAAGGAGAGGGAGAAGAAGAGAAGAGAGGGGAAAGAGAAGAGAGAGAGGGACGGAAAGAGGAAAATAGAGAGATGGAGAGGACAGAAACCTGTGAGGGGTTCCAGACTACTGTCGCGGTCAGAGTGGAAGGTAAATCGCTGCTGTAGGGATCCCTCTCCAGCCAGGATGAGCCTCATGTGACGTTTACGCAGGGAGGAGTACATTCTGCCGGGGAAGAGACAGACAGAAAGAGCAAGCAAAATGCACTAGCTTAACACTGCAATTTCACTACTGAAGTTTTTTGAGGTGCTACATGTATATTAAACCTTTAGCACATTTAACAACTTATAGAAAACATGGCACCTAAGGTTTCACAGGGTAAAAATACATGTGCAGATTGAGGCAAAATTGTGCACCTAAAAACTGGAAGCTTTTGAGACTACTGGCACTACATACACCCGCACTGTTGTGTGTGAGTGTGTGTGTGTGTGCACAACCAGTTCTTACATTGCAACCACCACCAGAATAAAGATAACGGCAACACAGCCCATGGTAAGGATTGCTATGACAACCCCGGTTCCTATCACAGCTCCGTGGTCAGAGGACGGAGAGTCTTTTTTCCCTGAAGAGAGAGGGAGTGAGGTGAGGTGGGAGGGAGAAGGAAGAGGGAGAGCGGGGAGGAACAGAGTGGAGTGAGAGGAGGAAGTTAGCAAGTGCAAGACTATACGCACATCCAGCGGGTAACTAGGAAATTGACTTATACGTGGAGAGCTGGCCCACGGTACGAACTGGCTAACCACAGTTGCGAGAAAACGCAAACCGACAGATCTCAAAGCGTGTTTCTCGCTTTGAAAAATTTAGTGGTTGCGGCAAAAATGGGGGATGGGAGGACTAACGGGCCTGTGAAGGAGAGTAGAGTCGCGCCCGAGAGCTTGTCACTGGATGGAGGGAGGGGCGGAGGAGGGGAGGTGGAGGAGGTGGTGAGAGGAGAGGTAGAGTCGCTGGTTGGCCCGGTTGATGGAGTGTCACTGGAGGAGGAGGAGGAGGAGGAGGAGTGGAGGGAGGTGGAGAGAGTGCGTGGGAAGGAGAGGTAGAGCCGCATTGTGGCGCGCGCGGTTGAGGGAGGTCACGGGAGGAGGATGGAGGAGGTGGTGTGAGGAGGTGGAAGAGGTGGTGGAAGGAGAAGTAGAGCCGCTGGTTGGCCCGGTTGATGGAGTGTCACTGGAAGAGGAGGAGGTGGAGGAGGTGGAGGTGGAAGAGGTGGTGGATGGAGGGAGTGTGGGAGGGAGAGGGAGTTTAGTGTTGCCGCAACACGGGCAGTGAAGGCGGCTCAAACAGGCTGCTCTGGCCTCCTGGCAGAGGTCTCTGCTATCTTCTGTAGACGCGGACACGACAGGGGGATAGAAACCAGAGGCAGCACGCCAACAAAAGGTTGTTGTTACACTACTGTGCGCACTAGCTGCACACGTCTCACTATGACGAATAGGAGTGCAATGTAAACTGCCACACGTATGCACGTGGCTGTCAAATGGATGCGCATTATTTACGCACATACCGACCTCTACACATCGTGCGTATCTGTAGGGAGCGAGCTCGATTATTGTGCCAATGCTAGTTGCAGAGTATGCAACTCCGTGAATCTTTATTAACCCTCGGCGGTGCGCGCATGCTGCAGCGAGGGTGACAGGACATTGGTGTCATCTGTCCGTCCGTTGACCTACGTTTCTCTGCACACGCGCAACAAACACGGTAAAATAGCGACACCCACGGATTCAGCGACTACCACTGGCTTGATTTTAAAATGACGGATTTTCGTAGAAAAGTGTCGCGTTCAGAACGTTATGGCGTGAAAACCAGTGAACCAGCCAATAGTGCTAATAGCACTAGGATTACTCGACCTCCTGATCGCTGCTCTTGTGTGTACCAGGACGCACAAGAAATACAATGAAGGGCGTGTATCGATCCCGCAGATTCTATTACTGCAGCCGGGATCTCCGGCTCAGATACTGAGGGAGATCACGAGGTAACACAGGACTAATAAGCCCAGGGCCCATCAATTTGGGGTTGGGGGGGGGGTGGGGGGGGGGGGGGGGTGTTTTTGGGGGGGGTGGGGTGTGGGGTGTGGGGGGGGGGTTTGGGGGGTTTGGTGTTGTGGGGGGGGGGGGGGGGGGGGGGGGGGGTTTGGGGGGTTGGTGGGGGGGGGGTGTTGGGGTTGGTTGTGTTGGTTTGTTGGGGGGGGGGGTGGGTGTGGTTGTGGGGGTGGTGTTGGTGTTGTTGGTTTTTTTTTTTTTTTTTTTTTTTTTTGTGGTTTTTTTTTTTGTTTTGTTTTTTGTTTTTTTGTTTGTTTTTTTTGTGTTTTTGTTTATTAGAGGTACCGCGCATGCGCAGTTCGCCGAGGGTTTGCACTTTAGTGCTTTTCATTTGCCACGTAGTCGTTTCTCCCTCGAAAGTTTCCGGCTGTGTGGAATGTACGTGTGGTTCATTAACATGTCTCTAGAGCATACGTACATAGTGGTTTTTGATGTGACGAGAAAATGAGTATTTACACATACCCAGAGCTGGCAGTGTAGTTTTTCTGTCCCGCGGCACAGGGGTCAGGGAGGTCAACATCTGGATCTCTCACACACAGTCCACTTAGTGACAGCCTCTCATAACCATAGTCACTGGCAGTGACACAGAGAGAGGGAGAGAGAGAGAGAGAGAGAGAGAGAGAGATGGGAGGGTAAGAGAATCGTATAGTTGAGAGAGCCAGGGACAGATGCAGAAATTAGGTAGTATATAGGGGCTTTCCTGCTTGCTAGGTTCACATGGGCAGCAAATAGGTCTTGGAAAGGAAATCAGATTTGCAAATGTGCGAACTGCAACATGGGTTGCATAATACTCAATGTCTACTGGCCAGCTTTGTCACTTAAGTAGGGAGGAGGGGGATAGTTTGTCGAAACGAAATTGACCTTCTAACTTTGGATCCCCTAACTACGAGTAGGTACAAGTCAGTCGTACCATTGAAAGTCTTCTTCGTTGCACTGGCAGATCTCAATACTGACTTCCCTGTCGTAGTCCCTGCCGTTGAGACAGCAGGTCTGGGCCCTGCGCCGCTCAATGGTCACAGTCACACCCAGTATACAGTCAGTGCCAGATCTCTGGTGGGCCAAAAGCCAGGATTAGTAAGAACCCCTCTAGCCCAGACACCAATGATGATACATGTAATGTGCCCTTAGAAAGGGGTTTCAATACATTCAGCCATCGACTTCAGGGCAGAGGAAACGGTAAGGGAACTGTTTTTCGGTATACACAGAGACAATGATATGTAACCTTGTCCGCCATCAACTAGTGATACAAGCTGGCAATAAAAACTAAATGCACATGACTGAACACTCCTACACTGTAAATTCATAGGTGTATATATGTACAACATCAAGCAACGGACACACACACACACACACAGAGTGTAGACCCACCAGGTCCCACGGCATCCACAGTATGTAGTCGCTATCTCTGCACTCTCTCTCAAACACGGCCCTGAAGTCGATGGTGAAGACCCTCCACTGCCTATTGGTCGTCTGTCCGTACAGACTCATGACCGTTGTGTGGTGACCAGGCTCCGTTATCACTCCGTAGATTACAGCTGACGATGACTGCAGAGAGAGAGAGAGAGAGAGAGATCTTCATGGCTGAGGTCTCCAAGCAAGTGTGAAAGCACCAACAGAAAATGCATATACGGTTGGGTACAAAATGAACGAGAACAAGATAGCATCTAGTACCATGCTTTTAGTCACCGAGGAAAAGCACTAACAACCAATTTAGCATGTCTTGTCTTAGCAAACACCAATGAAAGAGGGAAAAAGAGCTTTAGTTTATAAACAAGCACACACACACACACACACACAGTCGGTATCCCAATGTGACCCCCCAACTGACGGAGAAATGGAAGGTGTTCCAGGAGTAGCCCTCATTGCAGGAGTTGGAAGAAGATGCCAGCAGGTATGACCCAAGGCAGTGTATCTTGTCTAATCTTGTCACAACAAGGCAGTAAGGATGTAGGTAAACTTCCTGTGCATGCATACTACCTTCTTTTACTGTCACAACCTATAATAGGACTTACAAAAACGGACAAACTGAACTATAGCATGACAAACTATTAAGCTTAGCAAGACAAACCGACTGGACTGTGTACATACCAGACTCCGTTACGTGGGAGTGGTCCCGCCTCAGTGGTAGTGAGGCACAGGTCGGGAGATTAAAGGGACTGAAACCTGCGCCTACACGATGATCTGCTGAGGGGCTCCCCTGATGACTGGTGCTTATACAATGTTACTATATACAACAACCTGACACTTAACATGGAGGGGCTGCCAGTTGCTATTGTCGGGCGGGAGATCGGGCCGTGGTGCATAGGCATTCAAAAGCCCCACACACAAATGTGTACTGCGGACAAAAGCCACTCAATCCCTAGCACTCTCCTTTCTTTTTCTTCAATACACCAACACACACACACACACAGTTGGTATCCCAATGTGACCCCCCAACTGACGGAGAAATGGAAGGTGTTCCAGGAGTAGCCCTCATTGCAGGAGTACTGGAGGACACTGGACTGGTTTGTCTGGTGGTAGTCTTTGGCAGCCACCAGGAGACCGCCGTGGTCTGCCACGCCCACCCCCCAGCTACCCTTCAGCGTCTGTTCCCAGGTGACCCCGCCGTCCCTCGAGATGAACAGGTCGGGTTCGCTGAGCAGCGTCGCATTGGCGCTACCTGTGGACGGAAGAACGAGGCTAGTACGTGTATATCGTTTGTTAACGGTTCCGCCCATTGCTCTGGGTGCGTGGTCTATGGCCCTAGTGCTAAGGCAGCCACCTGAGTATTATATATACTCACCAAAGAGATATATGTATATATGTCTAGCGTTTGAGATCTCGGGTCATGCACGCTTGCAGTTGAGAGTTGGCTAGTTTGCAACGAATCATTCTAGTCTCAAAATCTTAACATGGCAGCTGCAACTTTCATAGCCGACCATACATTACGTCAGAATTTTGAAAAATGATTCCGCTTAGATAGAGTATACAGAAAATATGCAACATACAGTATGTACAATGAAGGCCTACATATGTAGTAATTATATGGCTGCACAAATGGAAGAAATCCTACATGTATTCCCTTGCCAAAAATGTGCAACGTGGAGCCATACATTTTGAATTCACACAGGCATCAGTTACACAATGCAGGAGGCTTCTCGCACTCTTTATAGCTAGCAACATGTACCTGTGCTAAGTAGCACTGGAATCAAGAAATTTGCGGGTGCATGCTAAAATTTAAGGAACTTGCCGCATTATGCGCAAACAGCGATGAGGCTAAGCAAAGCGATCACACTAAAAACATTTTTGCAAAGAGCGAGTGTAGCGAGAATTACAACTACACACTCTCCATTGGACTGCGTTGAGCAAAGTAGGGGGAAAAAGGCGAACAGGGCTTTTTCTTCTCCTCATGCTTAGAAATTCACATGAGTATCCTAAGTGTGAGTTACATATGCAGTGGAATCCAGATCCAAGTGGGACAGAAGAAATTGTCCATACTAGAAGGTGCCAGGGGTGAAGAAGAGGTGTTCTTGGAAAAAGGTGGCTTTATTTCTATTTCACGAGTGTCCTTAGAGAGAGGGTTCCACAGTGTATAGTGGTGGTGCGAGAGGAATGTACATACCGTGAGCGATGATAAGCCCAGGGGCAGAGGGGGTGGAGTATACTCCAAGTCTGGCGTAAGCACTGGAGTCCATGTGCAGGTGTAGGGAGCACACCGGGGGGCGGCAGTTGAGCGCCCTCCCATCCACATCCACGTCTGGAGGAATCAGCTAGAGAGAGGGAGGGAGAGGGGAGGAAAGAGAAGGACTCTACAGTAACTCTTAACCGCTTTGAATATCAGGTTAACATAATATTATGGAGTCTACTAGAGGAATGAAACACATTTTTGGGTAGATTCCCCATGTAAGCTACATCACGAAAATATCACACTGTTTCTCGTTAAGTACTCACTTCACTCGCCAGTTAAAAGGTATGTATGTACATGTATGTGTGAGGGGGAGAGGGGGAGAGGGGGAGAGGGGGAGTATGGAGGGAGGTTGTAGTGTGTGGGGAGTATATAATGTATATACCAGTTCCCAGTAGCCTCCGTTGTCAAGGGTGATGAGAGTTCGTTTGGGGGCGTTGGTTTGGCTGGGGCTGTCCCTCACGTACTGGTTGGCTACGAGTGTGCCATTCACTCCTTCAATCTGGTGACGAGAGAGAAAAGAGGGGGTCCACTGAATCAAGACATTGCAGCAGTCAAACTGGTAATGCACCGCAAGTGCTGGCGCCAACAGCTCAAAACCTTTAGTTAATATTATGCTGTCAATTGTAGGTGTACATTTTGTAGCATTAAAATTCCCGAAATAGTATTGACCTACTGTCTTTTTCATGTGATGTCACTACCACTGTGCACCAGCTCACGCATGCATAGCCAGTTCTACATCAGTATTTTGAAAGAAGTAGTCACGTTATAGTCCTCATTTCTCCTTTTTTGACATTCCTTTCTTCTATAGGTGTGTGCTGTTTAATTCTCATCACTAACAATAGGACGGTGGTGAACGCACCAGTTCAAGATCCACAATCCCTCTCACAACCACAATGTCCCTCAGGGAGAGAGAGTAGTCCATGCCGGTGCTGTCCGAGAGGTAGAGATTGTAGAAACCCCCCTCGTGTTGGATGATCACCATGGCCTGCAGCTCGTCGATGTGGCTCACCAGGTAACGCTGGTGGTTGTACGGCGTCGGGGATCTTTGCCAGACGGAACGCCTTCCGCAGGTGGCTCACGTAGAGGTTCATCTTCCCGGCGTCCGTCCGCTGGGCAAAGATGTAGGGCCCGAACACGAGGAAGGCGTCGTGGGCGCCAAAGCTGGGGTCGAACTGTTGGTGGGAGGTGTAGGGGGGTTCGGAGTAGAAGAGGTTGCCGCTCAAGGCCGCGTCGTCGGGGTCGGCGGTGGTGTAGTAGATCCTCAGAGGGTTGGCGTCCCATCGCGGGTCACCCCTGTGTGTGTTTGACAGTGCATATGTACGTACTATGTCCACATGATCAATTGTACTCCGTAGCAGCAAATTTTTGCCGTATAGAAACTTTGGTGAAGAGAATGGAGAATATTTCATGGGTTGCCTGTTCTACTTATGTATATAGCCAGAGCTGCCTTAGTCTCTCCATTGTCAAACCGAGGCAGCTGGTTAGTCTCGGAACCAGATAGAGAAGGAGCAGAGAGTTCCATAGCCATAGATAACCATAGCTCACAAACCTTTGTGGAGAGAACATGCATGTTTTTCCTCCTCCTAACACATTTTCTCATCGGTATGTATGGTATGTATGTACATAGATGCCTACAATGTGTACTGTACATATGCAACAGACAATGTTCCCCAACTCACCACTGGTAAGAGTCAACGCTGTCGTCCACTTTGGTCCAATCATTCCCATAGTTTCGGCTTAAGTAGAGCTGTTACAGAGAGAATAGGAGAGAATAGGGGATTACTCCATATAGTGCAAAACACAGGGCAACGGTTAACCCCAAGCTATGTGTATGGGGTATGATGGGGGAGAGTTTGTGAGGTTGTGAACATACTGCACTGCTGGTGTCCTTGGCCATCATCCAGCCGTCCTGGTCGGGGTGGTAGAGGAGAGTGCGAGGGTTGATGTTTACGTCCGTGATGTCAGTTATCGTGAAAGTGTCTCCCTCGTCCAGCGTGTAGTAGAGGCGGGGCTGCGTTGCGTGGGCAAAGAGGAGCTGCGACAGAGGGAGAGAGGGGAGACAGAAATATCGAGAGTGATACAACGTACAAACAGAGGCAATAAAGACGTAGAGAGGAGAGTTGGCCAGAGGTGCAGTGGAACATGTGTCTTATGAATGAATCACTGTACCAGGTTCGGGTTAAAGTCGCTGACAAAGAATCTCGGCGAGAGGACCACAGAACTGCTGGACTCCAGACGACTGTTGATGTTCACAAACGTGGATCCATAGTTTTCAGACCTTGTGGGAAAGTCGAGTGAATGCACATTCTTCAAGCCCCACACACCCGGGCTCTTATTTGTAGTGGGAAGTTTTTGACGAATAAACCATTTGACACTTTGCAGGTGGGTCTCAACCCACGAAAGTTTCTGGTACAGTACGTCTGCATTATAAGAACTACACAAAAGCTGCTGAATGCACAGTGTTTACCTGTAGAGGTTGGACCGTGTGGGAACCCCTCTTGAAGTTTGGTAAGTGAGTACAAATATCACCTGTGAAGAGAGACAGTATCGAGTGGAGAGGACACTATCTAAGGTTGACATGAACTCCCATACCATACAGAGACACGGCAGTGGTGTCACAGTGTCTGCATATACATATCAGGAAACACAGACATAGTAATTCACATGCATACAGGATGTTGGTGCATGCCAGGTGTATATATGCACTCCAACAATGGATGGAACACCTCTCTAAGGACACCTTTGACATGAGCACACCTTTCTCTTTCCAAGCACACTTTAAAACCAAAGAGCAATTTTAAACTTGAATTAGGACACCTGCCAACTAATTTCTCCCTTCCCATTGGTCTCCAGATTAGCCAATGTAGACTGTTACACAATGAACATCAACCATACAGTTTGAACTATGTGTAGCAGAGAGACAAAAGGCTTAACAGGTGTACTGGTAGTTATGGGCTGTTACACGTACACCAATAGCATGGGGAATAACAGATTTTTGCTGTGCATGACTGCTTACAGATATGACAGTGCAGTGAAAATGCATGTGGGAGGGTGTAACATCATGTGACAGTTGGTTGGAGACCTTATGTAAACACTCAAAACTCAACCCATGTTTGTGTGCCATTCACCACACGGACCGTGTACTAACTACAAGTCTTTTTGAGCCTTCAACGATAAAGAGATAAGAGTACGCAGACGTGACAATAGAGAGCACCACCCCAGGTCCTACAAAGCAACAAAAGCTGCCTTTGGGAGTAAACCTAGCTCAATGTGTGTAAATAGTAAACACTGTCTACCATGTTAGTTTGCGCTAAAAATGTAATCTGACAGAGTATCCATATATGTACTAATGCTCTGTCTACACAAATTATCATGCACAATACAAACATTCTTCCTTGTCCAATAGCTATATATCCGCACCGGCACTTGCGTGCTTATATTAGTTATTTCAGGACACCACTGAGTCCAATAGATAATGTATATATTATATCCATAGGAAACCACATTGATAGGGACCATTTCTGGCAACCGTCCTGATTTCAGGCATGTCAGGTGTTTCCTCTCAGTTGGAGACACACTCACGGTGCTGTTTCCACCAGAATAGTGGATGAGAGCTGTTGGGTAGCCATCGTTAAAGGTGTGGTCTCCATCATTACTTGGGTCACCGGCTGCACGCTTCCTCACCTGCACGTGTGTGTGTGCGCCGCAAAACGGGCAAGAACGAGGTGTCACTCAACAAGAGCAGAACAACATTCATGTGTACACGCGAAATTCATTTTGCCGATCACGTGGGCGCCTGGTGGGCTTTTTAGCTGTGTACCATGGAAAAAAGCGCCGACTTACCATCGCCAGCTCCTTCTCCACCTCGGCGACCGGACGATGCAGCTTCCTCCCGTCACCAGTGGCCATGTCCGGACCGACCGCGACTGCCGGGCCTCCGCGGTGGAGGCCCTTTATCGCCTCCAGTGTAGAGACGCACAATTGCAGGCCGGTTGCTAGCACGAGAACGGCTAGCAGAGCACTCCCGGGAGCCAGACACTTCATTATTCCCTCTCTCACCAGGGGCGTAGCCAGGATTGAATCTTAGGGGAGGCAAATATGTATTTATTAATTGCGCGCATGCGCAATGATGTTGCGCAATGTCAGCGTACTCGATCGCGATGATCACGCAAAGGCCAGAGCAATACGGCAATGCCCGGAGCTATCCCAGGCTTGTAAGGATATGTCCGCTCTTGGCCCAGTGTTAACTGCATGCTCTCGCTGCTGGCGCTTGTGGTTGGTTACACTACGAAAAGTTGTAACAAATTATTCATAAGTCGGCAAAAACAGGGGAGGCAACTGCCTCCTCTGCCTCAATGCTAGCTACGCCCGTGCTCACACTGCTGACACCAAGTCCCACACTTCACAGTTCACACACGACGCTCTCGACTGGATCATGGACTGAGATTACGTGCGCGTGAGATTTACGTCCGCATGCGCACAAACCCTGGATCCGCACCAGGCAGAAGACGAGATATCCGCGATCGATGGGCCTTTTTCCGTTCGAGGGAACTAGTCTAGGTGTTACCTAGAGTTTCGAAGCAGAGAAGGGGTGTTACGTAGAGTTTTGACTCAGAGGAGTCAGGAGTCTAGAGAGTGATGGAAGGCACTTGTCCTTTCTCTCTTAGCCACCAGAAGTTCCAACGTTTTTTTGATGAGCCACTGAGGGCTGAAGAGTGCGATCCTCTCCTCCCCAATTCCCAGCCCTCACAGTCACCTTTGGCAGAGGAAGATGGAGATGTGGTGAAAGGGGCCCATCCCACAACCTCCTCTACATCCACCCCCTCTTCGTCCACCTCCACTATGTCCACCCACTCTTCCTCCACCTCCTCTACATCTTTTGCTGCAAAAGGAGATGTAAGTCCACTTGACATAACACTATCAAGTCCTTCCAAGAATGAAAAGCACTTGAAAGTGCATAACCCTCACCACTTTATTCTTTATTTCAGCAGCCAATGGCTACTAGCTACACTACGTCAGTTTTTGGCACATGCGCGTTCAATACTAGTTACTACAACAGCAAAGTGAAAAGCACTGGTCTTGACAACCCTCACCACTATTCAGCTACATACACTACCTCAGTGACTCCTTCACTGAACGGATTCACTGGGGCGTATGCTGCTCTCACTTCACCGGCAATCTCGATCCTACTACTGTATATCAATACAGGTAGACCAGCAAATCTTCTCCACAGGCGCAAAGCATCTAGCAACTAAGTATAACGATGGTTCGCGCGCGATCTCTATTTGACGCACACTCACCTCGACAGCTGCTCATTTCACCAGCTTCCCTGGCCTTCTCCGCTCCAGAATCTTATTTTACCATGCATGCCTCCTACTTGATAATATGTCCACGTTTCACGCTCAGAGTTGCCGCGGTTACAGAGAAAAACAGTGGACAGACGGAGGACGGACAGACACACGCACACACACGAACAGACAGACCGACTGCAATAACCCTCGCTGCGCATGCGTGCAGGCGAGGGTTAATGACCCCAACATCTGGCTACCTCATTTAGAGATCTATCCATAAGGGATAAAGCCATTTTGAAAATATCTGGGTGGCTTAATGATGGCATTATTTATGCAGCCCAAAAGTTGCTAGAATCCCAGAGCAAGGGCAAAATTTCTGGGTGGCAATCTACACAGTGTTGCAAGAGAGAGGGCCTTTTTGCCATTGTTCCACAAAGCAGCCGTTTTGTTCAAATCCTACACGTGGACAGCTGCCATTGGGTAACAACTTCAAATGTTCAGAGTGGAGAACCACACAAAGATAATGTCAGCATTTATGACAGTGGTAGGGTAACCACGTTCTCCGCAGATGTCACCACATGTGCACAAGCGAAAAGAGCACATTTGATTTACTTTTGAACTGTATTGCAATTGTAGGACAATAAAAGACGGAACAAAAGCATGAGTGCCAGAAATGGTATCAAAAATCATGTGTATGTCACTGGATGAGATAAAATTTCTCATCCATCATAATAGTGAAATTAACTGAAAGTGCACTGACTGTGACATGTTATACTGATTGTATTCATGCTCATGTCCACTTCACTGGTATCTGTACGAAATATGTTATCTTTAGCACCTTTTTTCAATGTGGGTATAGACATATTATGAAAAGCACTAAAGTGCAAACCCCCGGCGAACTAAGACTAACAATACATGCACGCGTGAGCCGATGTGCACAATGGTAGTGACGCATTACACATAACATGCGACAAACAACAACATTGTATCAAAAAGGAGGACATCATTATTCAAATCCGTGGTATAAAAGGTATCAAAAATAGAATTAGAAGTAGAGTATAAAAGTGTAGGGCAGCATCATTTGAGAGGTTAGCTAGCATCACCTAGGCATCATGGGTGCCCTGGTCTTGAGAACCAGGAATGGTGGGTTAAAGAGATCTTTTACCACCGGTGAACTCTACCCACACACCAAGGCCTATCTCATAGCAATGCCGCCCAAAGAGCAACACATATAAAACAAATATATACGCACCTCAATAGCAGAGGACCCGATACGCTGCATCGAAGCTTGAAGAATACGAATGGCAACAAGGAAAAGGGAGTGAGCAATATATGGAGAGAACCCCCAGGAAGCAGAACGTATACAGCTATACAAGTTTCACAACTGTGGTCGTCGTATGGTGACTCGTTTGTACAAGGAAGGATGACAAACGTATAACCCACATATTATACCATCAGAGATGTGTCTCCTGAGACAAACTTGTCCATCAAGTGGATATATTTAACATAAAACTTCTTGAAGCTCTTAATATATAAAAAGCCCCGTTTAATCAATCTAGTTGTAATCAACATATTCCTTTCTTTAAAATCCTCATAACTACTGCATATACGTCATATTTTTACCAATTGGGATATGTAAACTCCATAGAAAGGCCCACAAGGCACGTATACTGCTCATATACACCATATGAAAGTTGAAGCTAAGTAGCCTCGTGTGGACCAATCAGGACGCTATGCACCAAGAAAACGAGAGGCAGAGTCGAAGGGTTTGCCACTTACTGAAATCTCATACACTTTTGCTGAAATCTCTAACGAAATCCGGCAATCTCACGGAAATCCCTTGTGAAATCTGGAAATCTTTGTAGGATCTCCTTGAGTTCTGAAATCTTTCCTGAAATCCTGAATTCTTCGTGAAATCTTGTGGGCGTTTACATTTTTGCGCATGTTCACGACGTTTTGCGCATGCGTATCACTGGCGTAACCGTCCTAGCTAGCTCGGGTATTGTTACACAGGTTAACACCATGACCTGGAGGCCATTCTGTTCTTCCCAGATCCTAGAGCCGACCCACACCGACTGTCACCCTTCATCCAGGCGGCTTTCAAAGGTCATGTGGACGTTGTGGAGTACGTTGTACATAGCTACCCCGCGCCCAAGTACGTCGACTACGCGGACACCGTCCATTTCGACTCGTCGTCGGCCGTCCACTGCTGCACGGCGCTGACGGCTGCGGCCATGCGCGGGCACACTGAGGTAGCAAGAGTCCTATATAGAGGCAGGAGCCTCGACAGAAATCAGGGACTGTACAATGATGTGTGTGTGGTACTGTTACCAATCATACCATCTCCCGGTAGAGGTAGTGGCAGCTGGCGCGGAAGGAGAGGGTTGGTGTGGGAGAGTGATGTCACCAAGATACAGTGGAGGCGTGGCACCAGAGAGGGAGGGGGACAGTGGGCGCTCCGTTCGGCCGCTGTCTCCCCCACCACTCCCTCCTCCCCGTCCTCCCCTCCCTCAAAGAGGGTTAAGACGGGGTGTTTGCTGAGGACACCCACACACTCAACAGTGGACGTCACACGGAATGCCTCAACACTCTCACCATACACCTGTACACAAAACAAAGACACCACAATAGATTCATTTCGTTCTCAGAAGAAATATTTAAATCAGGCAAATTAAAATCCATATTCTTGGCAGCCGACGAATATGTGATTTCACAGAACTTGTAATTAGACGCTTGCAAGCAGCAATTTCAATTAAACGCTTGCAATTAAAACCTGCCAAAACTTGAAAGTACAATACATTGTAGGCGATAGCAACAACCCCACATGTACAGACAGTGCGCTGTGCAACGCAAAAGGCACCTCGAGTAGAAAACCCTCCCAATTTTGAAGTTGGATCCCTTTAGTACTACTGGCAGCGGGGAAGTTACTTATACCTTGGTCCAGGCTTCCTCGGACTTCAGGAGTTCAGTGAAGTGCTCCACTACCCTCTGTTCGGCGTCATCTCCGGACGCTGCCACACTCTCCTCTGCATGCAGAGGGCAGTTTTATACGAGACTCGTTTTACTATATCGGTAGCTAGCTACAGCCATAAATTCTCTCCTAGAGCTCGACATGCGCCATGGTTTACAAAGTTAACCAACCGTGCAGCTTCCGTACGACTTTTGCCAGCACAGGCACCTCTCTGTCAGTCCTATACTATAGTCGAACAGCAGCGCAGCTCGCCGCGCCCGGAATCACACGCGCGCGCGCCACTCGCGCATGTGCATGCGCACAATCTGAAGCAACACACATGTGAAAGGCATAGGGTGAAATGCGCACTAAGATTATAACACCAATTTGTACACATAATAGACGGGCGTGTGGGTGTGGTCAGTAGATGGGGGACAATAAAAAAATTTCAGTTTGAGTTCATGGGATGAGTGGGTCATCATCTTCAGCGTCCTGAGCAGCATCTATAGAGAGAGAGAGACCAACAACTTATAATAGGGAGGACGGAGGACGGGGAGAAGGAGAAGGAGAGGGAAAGAGAAGAGAAGAGAGGGAGAGGGAGAGAAGAGAGGGAGAGGGAGAGGGAGAGAAGAGAGAACGAGGAAGTACCCTCGAGGGGATCGGACTATCCGCTTCTCGAGATCGTTTCACCGCTACGGGCTCCCGACTCATCTCGTGCATACGTATCTAGCTGTCCAGCGTCCTCTGCCTCTCTTCTCGTTCCCTCGCCTGCGCTACTGCTCTATTCTCTTTCTCTCGCGTCTCTCTGCGCTTCGACAAACCTATCTTTACTAAAGAGAAAATCGTGAGACTGAAGATAGATACCTGTGTAGGGTGTTCCAGACTACTGTCGCGGTCAGAGTGGAAGGCAAAACGCTGCTGTATGGATCCCTCCCCAGCCAGGATGAGCCTCATGTGACGTTTACGCAGGGAGGTGTACATTCTGCCGGAGAAGAGACAGACAGAAAGAGCGAGCAAAATGCACTAGCTTAACACTGCATTTTCATTACTGAAGTTTTTTGAGGTGCTACATGTAACAACTTATAGAAAACATTGCACCTAAGGGTAAAAAAACGTGTGTGCAGATTGAGGCGAAATTGTGCACCTAAAACACTGTGAGGGAGTGTGTGTGTGTGTGTGTGTGTGCACAACCAGTCCTTACATTGCCACTACCACCAGAAAGAAGCTAACGGCAACACAGCCCGCGGTAAGGATTGCTATGACAACCCCGGTTCCTATCAGAGCTCCGTGGTCAGAGGACGGAGAGTCTTTTTTCTCTGAGGAGAGAGGGAGTGAGGTGGGAGGGAGAAGGAAGAGGGAGAGCGGGGAACAAGTGGAGTGAGAGGAGGAAAGTTAAGCAAGTGCAATGACTCTACGTATATCCACCGGGTAACTAGGAAATTGACTTATACGTGGAGTGCTTGTCCCACTGTACTACTGGCTAACACAGTTTGCGGAGAAAACGCAAACAGACAGATCTCAGACATCAAAGTGTTTTCTCGCTCGAAAAATTTAGTGGTGCAATAATGGTGGAGAGGACTAACGGGCCTGTGTAGAAGGAGAGGTAGAGTCGCTGGTTGGCCGAGTGTCACTGGAGGAGGAGGAGGAGGTGGTGGATGCAGGGAGTGTGGGAGGGAGTGTAGTGTTGCCACAGCACGGGGCAGTGAAGGGTTTAAGCAGGCTCTCCTGGCCTCCCTGGCAGAGGTCTCCTGCTATCTTCCTGTAGCTGCGGACAGACAGGGGAATAGAAACCAGAGGCAGCAACACAAAGGTTGTTGTTACACTACTGTACTAGCTGACCCTCACTATTGACGAATAGGAGTGCGTGTAAACGTGCACACGTGTACATGGTTAATGGTAGGCATTATTTAGAACAACGACCTACAACACTGCAGTATTGGTGGCAGAGTATCATGCACCTGTAGGGAGGCTCGATCATTTTGCCAATGCTAGTTGCAGTATTGCAACTCCGTGAATTCCTTTATTTGCCACGTAGTCATTTCTCCCTCGAAGGTTTCTGGCTGTGTGCAATGTACGTGTGGTTCATTAACATGTCTCTAGAGCATACGTACATAGTGGTTTTTGATGTGACGAGAAAATGAGTATTAGCACGTACCCAGAGCTGGCAGTGTAGTTTTTCTGTCCCGCTGCACAGGGGTCAGGGAGGTCAACATCTGGATCTCTCTCACACAGCCCACTCAGTGACAGCCTCTCATAACCATAGTCACTGGCAGTGACAGAGAGAGAGGGAGAGGGAGAGAGAGATGGGAGGGTAAGAGAATCGTATAGTTGAGAGAGCCAGGGACAGATGCAGAAATTAGGTAGTATATAGGGGCTTTCCTGCTTGCTAGGTTCACATGGGCAGCAAATAATGCTTGGAAAGGAAATCAGATTTGCAAATGTGCGAACTGCAACATGGGTTGCATAATACTCGATGTCTACTGGCCAGCTTTGTCACTTAAGTAGGGAGGGGGATAGTTTGTCGAAACGAAATTGACTGTTTAACTTTGGATCCCCTGACTACGAGTTGGTACAAGTCAGTCGTACCATTCAAAGTCTTCTTCGTTGCACTGGCAGATCTCAATACTGACTTCCCTGTCGTAGTCCCTGCCGTTGAGACAGCATGTCTGGGCCCTGCGTCGCTCAATGGTCACAGTCACACCCAGTATACAGTCAGTGTCAGATCTCTGGTGGGCCAAAAGCCAGGATTAGTAAGAACCCTTCCACCAATCATTGCTACATGTACATAATTAATTATATTGGCAAGGTGTCCTTACTTCAGGAGTTGATTACAGTGGAACCCCTCCAGTCTACACCAATCGGACAGTGGAAAATGTCCATGTTAATACAAGGTGACCTTATATTTCGCACGTTATTAGGGAAAGAAAAGTAGTCCCTATTAGTGAGGTGTCCTCATTCCAGATGGGTGTCCTAGAGAGGGGACATTCCGTCATCGACTTCAGGACAGAGGAAATGGCAAGGGAACGATTTTCGGTATACACAGAGACAATGATATGTAACCTTGTCCGCCATCAACTAGAGATACGAGCTGGCAATAAAAACTAAAGGCACATGACTGAACACTCCTACACTGTAAATTCATAGGTGTATATATGTACAACATCAAGCAACGGACACACACACACACACACACACAGAGTGTAGACCCACCAGGTCCCACGGCATCCACAGTATGTAGTCGCTATCTCTGCACTCTCTCTCAAACACGGCCCTGAAGTCGATGGTGAAGACCCTCCACTGCCTATTGGTCGTCTGTCCGTACAGACTCATGACTGTTGTGGGTGACCAGGTCCGTTATCACTCCGTAGATTACAGCTGACGATGTCTGCATGAAAACAAGAGGAGAGGAGAAGAGGGAGTCTTCATGGCTGAGGTCCGAGAGAGGAGAGAGGATCTTCATGGCGAGTCTCCAAGCAAGTGTGGAAGAACCAACCGAAAGTGCATATACGGTTTAGTAGAAAAAAAAAACAAAACAACAAAATAACCAAAAATAACCACCCAAACCCTAAAAAAATGAACCCTACCCACCCCTCAAAAATAAATTAACCACCCCCCCCCTAAAAAAAACTAAACCAAATCAAACCCTAAAAATAAAAAAAAAAATAATAAATAATAATAAAAAACATAAAACAAAAAAAAAACATACCCCCAAAAAAAAATAATTATAAACCTCCCCCCTCACAACAACACCCCCTCTCAAAAAAAAAACAAACAACAAAAACAAAAAAAAAACCTTCAAAAAACAAAAAAAAATTACAAAAAAATTAAATAAAAACCTCAATCAAAAATAACAACGCAAAAAAATAAACCTTCTCTAACAAAAAAAAAAAAAAAAAAAAAAAATCGACCCCAAAAAAAAACCCAAACAACAAAAAAAAAGACATTTACAATCATAAAATGCAAAATTTTCCTTCCAAAAAAACTAACCCCCCAAACCCAAAACCAAAAACAACAAACAAAAAAAACTAATCCAAAAATTAAACCAATTAAAAATAAAAAAAAAAAAAACACCACCAACCAAAAAACCCCCGCACCCCCCAAAAAAAAAAAAAACAAAAAAAAAAACTACCCCACACAAAAAATACCAAAAATCCACCACACCCAAACAAACCCAACCCCCCCCCCCCCCCCTCGCAACAAAACCCCCCCAAACTCCAATAAAAACAACCCCCCCCTAAAACCAAAAAACCCCACCCCCCACCCCCCCCAAAAACCCCCCCCAAACCAACCCAAAATGAATGAGAACAAGATAGCATCTAGTACCATGCCTTTATTTACCGAGGATAAGCACTAACAACCAATATTATACGTTTTGTCTTAGCAAACACCAATGAAAGAGGAGAGTGGAAAGAGAGAAAAAGAGTAAACAAGCACACACACACACACAGTTGGTATCCCAATTTGACCACCCAACTGACGGAGAAATGGAAGGTGTTCCAGGAGTAGCCCTCATTGCAGGAGTACTGGAGGACACTGGACTGGTCCGTCTGGTGGTAGTCTTTGGCAGCCACCAGGAGACCGCCGTGGTCTGCCACGCCCACCCCCCAGCTACCCTTCAGCGTCTGTTCCCAGGTGACCCCGCCGTCCCTCGAGATGAACAGGTCGGGTTCGCTGAGCAGCGTCGCATTGGTGTTGCCTGTGGACGGAAGAACAAGGCTAGTACATATACATGTCTAGCGTTTGAGATCTCGGGTCATGTACGCTTGCAGTTGAGAGCTGGCTAGTTTAGTTTGCAACGAATCATTGTAGTCTCAAAATCTTAACATGGCAGCATAGCCGACCATACATTACGTCACAGAATTTTGAAAAATGATTCCGCTTAGATAGAGTATACAGAAAATATGCAACATACGCACAATGAAGGCCTACATATGTAGTAATTATATGGCTGCACAAATGGACGAAATCCTACACACTTGTTTGCTTTCCCAAAAATGTGCAACATTCATACATACACATTATTAATATGGAGCCACGCATGCATTTTGTATTCATACAGGCATCAGTTACATACAATGCAGGAGGCACACTCTTTATACTGTAGCTATATATGTAGCAACATACCTGTGCTAAGTAGCACTGGAATCAAGAAATTGGCGGGTCCACGCTAAAATTTAAGGAACTTGCCACATTATGCACAAACAGCGATGAGGCTAAGCAAAGCGATCACACTAGAAACGTTTTTGCAAAGAGTGAGTGTGAGAACACGAGTAGTGAGAATCACAACTACACACATATTCTCCATTGGACTGTGTTGAGCAAAGTAGGGGGAAAAAGGCGAACAGGGCTTTTCCTTCTCCTCATGCTTAGAAATTCACATGAGTATCTAAGTGTGAGTTACATATGCAGTGGAATCAGATCAAGTGGGACAGAAGAAATTGTCCAACTAGAAGGTTGCCAGGGGTGAAGAAGAGGTGTTCTTGGAAAAAGGTGGCTTTATTTCTATTTCACGAGTGTCTTTAGAGAGGGGGTTCCACAGTGTATAGTGGTGGTGCGAGAGGAATGTACATACCGTGAGCGATGATAAGCCCAGGGGCAGAGGGGGTGGAGTATACTCCAAGTCTGGCGTAAGCACTGGAGTCATGTGCAGGGTAGGGAGCACACCGGGGCGGCAGTTGAGCGCCCTCCCATCCACATCACGTCTGGAGGAATCAGCTAGAGAGAGGGAGGAGGGAGGGGGAGGAATGAGAGAAGGACTCACAGTAACTCTTAACCGCTTTGAATATCAGGTTAACATAATATTATGGAGTCTACTAGGAGGAATGAAACACATTTTTGGTAGATTCCCCATGTAAGCTACATCACGAAAATATCACACTGTTTCTCATTAAGTACTCACTTCGTTATGTACATGTATGTGTGAAGGGGAGAGGGGGAGTACGGAGGGAGGTGGGGAGGTGGGGAGAGGGGGAGTACGGAGGGAGGTTGTAGTGTGTGGGGAGTATATAATGTACCAGTTCCCAGTAGCCTCCGTTGTCAAGGGTGATGAGAGTTCGTTTGGGGGCGTTGGTTTGGCTGGGCTGTCCCTCACGTACTGGTGGCTACGAGTGTGCCATTCACTCCTTCAATCTGGTCGAGAGAGAAAAGAGGGGGTCACTGAATCAAGACATTGCCAGCAGTCAAAATGGTAATGCCACCCGCAAGTGCTGGCGCCAACAGCTTCAAAACCTTTAGTTAATATTATGCTGTCAATTGTAGGTGTACATTTTGTAGCATTAAAATTCCCGAAATAGTATTGACCTACTGTCTTTTTCATGTGATGTCACTACCACTGTGCACCACAGCTCATGCATGCATAACCAGTTCTACATCAGTATTTTGAAAGAAGTAGTCACTTTATAGTCCTCATTTCTCCTTTTTGACATTCCTTTCTTCTATCAGTGTGTGCTGTTTTAATTCTCATGCACAAACAATAGGACGGTGGTGAACGCACCAGTTCAAGATCCACAAATCCCTCTCACGACCACGATTGTCCCTCAGGGAGAGAGAGTAGTCCATGCCGGTGCTGTCGAGAGGTAGAGATTGTAGAACCCACCTCGTGTTGGATGATTCACCATGGCCCTGCAGCTCGTCGATGTGGCTCAACCAGTAACGCTGTGGTTGATACGGTGTGGGGATCTTTGCCAGACGGAACGCCTTCCGCAGGTGGCTCACGTAGAGGTTCATCTCCGGCGTCCGTCCGCTGGGCAAAGATGTAGGCCCGAACACGAGGAAGGCGTCGTGGGCGCCAAAGCTGGGGTCGAACTGTTGGTGGAGTGTAGGGGGGTTCGAGTATGAAGAGTGTTGCCGCTCAGGCCGCGTCGTCGTGGCGGTCGGTGGTGTAGTAGATCTCAGAGGGTTGGCGTCCCATCGCGGGTCACCCCTGTGTGTGTGTGACAGTGCATATGTACGTACTATGTCCACATGATCAATTGTACTCCGTAGCAGCAATTTTTGCCGTTTATAGAAACTTTGGTGAGAGAATGAGAATATTTCATGGTTGCCTGTTCTACTTATGTATATAGCCAGAGCTGCCTTAGTCTCTCCATTGTCAAACCGAGGCAGCTGGTTAGTCTCGGAACCAGATAGAGAAGGAGCAGAGAGTTCCATAGCCATAGATAACCATAGCTCACAAACCTTTGTGGAGAGAACATGCATGTTTTTCCTCCTCCTAACACATTTTCTCATCGGTATGTATGGTATGTATGTACATAGATGCCTACAATGTGTACTGTACATATGCAACAGACAATGTTCCCCTACTCACCACTGGTAAGTGTCAACGTTGTCGTCCACTTTGGTCCAATCATCCCCATAGTTTCGGCTTAAGTAGAGCTGTTACAGAGAGAATAGGAGAGAATAGGGGATTACTCCATATAGACCAAAACACGGCAAAGGTTAACCCCAAGCTATGTGTATGGGGTGTGATGGGAGAGAGTTTGTGAGGTTGTGAACATACTGCACTGCTGGTGTCCTGGGCCATCATCCAGCCGTCCTGGTCGGGGTGGTAGAGGAGAGTGCGAGGGTTGATGTTTACGTCCGTGATGTCAGTTATCGTGAAAGTGTCTCCCTCGTCCAGCGTGTAGTAGAGGCGGGGCTGCGTCGCGTGGGCAAAGAGGAGCTGCGACAGAGGGAGAGAGGGGAGACAGAAAGATCGAGAGAGATAAAAAGAGGCAATAAAGACATAGAGAGGAGAATTGGCCAGAGGTGCAGATGAACATGTGTCTCATGAATGAATCACTGTACCAGGTTCGGGTTAAAGTCGCTGACAAAAGAATCTCGGCGAGAGGACCACAGAACTGCTGGACTCCAGACGACTGTTGATGTTCACAAACGTGGATCCATAGTTTTCAGCACCTTGTGGGAAGAGTGAATGCACATTCTTCAAGCCCCACACACCCGGGCTCTTATTTGTAGTGGGAAGTTTTTGACGAATAAACCATTTGACACTTTGCAGGTGGGTCTCAACCACGAAAGTTTCTGGTACAGTACGTCTGCATTATAAGAACTACACAAAAGCTGCTGAATGCAAGTGTTTACCTGTAGAGGTTGGACCGTGTGGGAACTCCTCTTGAAGTTTGGTAAGTGAGTACAAATATCAACCTGTGAAGAGAGACAGTATCGAGTGGAGAGGACACTATCTAAGTGACATGAACTCCCATACCATACAGAGACACGGCAGTGGTGTCACAGTGTCTGCATATACATATCAGGAAACACAGACATAGTAATTCACATGCATACAGATGTTGGTGCATGCCAGGTGTATATATGCACTCCAACAATGGATGGAACACCTCTCTAAGGACACCTTTGACATGAGCACACCTTTCTCTTTCCAAGCACACTTTAAAACCAAAGAGCATTTAAACTTGAATAGGACACCTGCCAACTAATTTCTCCTCCCATTGTCTCCAGATTAGCCAATGTAGACTGTTACACAATGAACATCAACCATACAGTTGAACTATGTGTAGCAGAGAGACAAAGGCTTAACAGGTGTACTGGTAGTTATGGCTGTTACACGTACACCAATAGCATGGGGAATAACAGATTTTTGCTGTGCATGACTGCTTACAGATATGACAGTGCAGTGAAAATGCATGTGGGAGGGTGTAACATCATGTGACAGTTGGTTGGAGACCTTATGTAAACACTCAAAACTCAACCCATGTTTGTGTGCCATTCACCACACGGACCGTGTACTAACTACAAGTCTTTTTGAGTCTTCAACGATAAAGAGATAAGAGTACGCAGACGTGACAATAGAGAGCTCCACCCCAGGTCCTACAATCAAAGCAACAAAAGCTGCCTTTGGGAGTAAACCTAGCTCAATGTGTGTAAATAGTAAACGACTGTCTACCATGTCAGTTTGCGCTAAAAATGTAATCTGACAGAGTATATATCCATATTATGTACTAATGCTCTGTCTACACAACACGAAACAAACATAGCTATATATTCGCACTGGCACTTACGCACCTATATTAGTTATTTCAGGACACCACTGATAATGCCATAGGAAACCACATTGATAGGGACAATTTCTGGCAACCGTCCTGATTTCAGGTGTTTCCTCTCAGTTCGTATAGAATTAGGGGAGACACACTCACGGTGCTGTTTCCACCAGAATAGTAGATGAGAGCTGTTGGGTAGCCATCGTCAAAGGTGTGGTCTCCATCCTAGTTGGGTCACCGGCTGCACGCTTCCTCACCTGCACGTGTGTGTGTGTGCCGCAAAACGGGCAAGAACGAGGTGTCACTCAACAAGAGCAGAACAACATTCATGTGTACACGCTAAATTCATTTTGCCGGATCACCTGGGCGCCTGGCGGGCTTCTTAGCTGTGTACCATGGAAAAGGGCGCCGACTTACCATCGCCAGCTCCTTCTCGACCTCGGCGACCGGACGATGCAGCTTCCTCCCGTCACCAGTGGCCATGTCCGGACCGACCGCGACTGCCGGGCCTCCGCGGTGGATGCCCTTTATCGCCTCCAGTGTAGAGACGCACAATTGCAGGCTGTTTGCTAGCACGAGAACGGCTAGCAGAGCACTCCAGGGAGCCAGGCACTTCATTATTCTCTCTCACACACTGCTGACACTTCACACAAGACGCTCTCGACGGGACTGAGATTGCGTGCGCGTGAGATTTACGTACGCATGCGCACAAACCGCATCCGGATATCCTGCAATCCCTGTATTATTTTGACAGGATGGGGAAAGAAACATTACTCTTCCCTTGAAACAGCGGTGGAGAGGATGGAGCTGAACTTGACTCAGGTCAAGGTGAGTCGGAGAGCCTAGTAACCATCTGTAGGTAGGTACAGCTGCATCTAAAATTAAAGTGTCAAACCCTCGGCGAACTGCGCATGCGCGTTACCTAATTGATGGGCTGGGCTTATTAGTCTGCTGATCATGATCCGCTTGCTCTGTGTATATACCTCGAAGGCACAAGAAGTCACAACGAAGGGCATGTATCGACTCCCGCATGCTATCTACTACTGTAGCTAGCCCGTGTCAGACTCTCCGCGAGCTACTAGCGGGAGATCACGAGTAAAACGCAGACTAACAAGCCCAGCCCATCAATTAGGTAACGCGCATGCGCAGTTCGCCGAGGGTTTGCACTTTAGTGCTTTTCAGTTTAGATGCAGCTGTTCACTTGGTTTTCACGCCATAACTTCTGAACGCGGCACTTTTACGAAAATCGCCGTTTTAAAAATCAAGCCAGTGTGGCGCTGAACCCGTTGGTCTCGCTATTTTACCTGTTTGTTGCGCGTGGTGGCAGAAAACGTGGTAACAGACGGACAGACAGTCACAGACAGACGGCCGGCGCCCCGCCGGCGGACGGACAAACCAAGTACTACCCTCGCTGCGCATGCGCGCCGAGGGTTAACAACACCCGTCGCCTGTGATACGCATGCGCAAAACTTCGTGCCTATGCGCGCGTTAGTAAACGCACAACAAAAATTTCGGGATGCCAGCAAGGATTTCAGGAAAGATTTCGGAGCTCAAGGAGATGAGATACTACAAAGATTTCCAGATTTCAGCAAAAGTGTAACTTAGAGATTTCAGTAAGTTCAACTGATCACGTGGTCGCCACGTGGAGCTCTTCGCATCGCCGAACTTTACTGTTGGTTTTCTGCCGAGGGTTTGCATTTTCATTACGTAGGTAGGTTAACACATGACCTGGAGGCCGACCGGGAGTGACCTGGAGGCCGCTCTGTTCTTCCCAGATCCTAGAGCCGACCCACACCGACCGTCACCCTTCATCCAGGCGGCTTTCAAAGGTGATGTGGACGTTGTGGGGTACGTTGTACGTAGCTACCCCGCGCCCAAGTACGTCGACTACGCGGACACCGTCCATTTCGACTCGTCGTCCGCCGTCCACTGCTGCACGGCGCTGACGGCTGCGGCCATGCTCGGGCACACTGAGGTAGCAAGAGTCCTTCTGGAGGCGGGAGCCTCGACAGAAATCAGGGACTGTACGGGCGCCACTCCTCTCTGCGAAGCCGTCTTTCACAATCACCTTGACGTCGTACGTCTCCTTCGGGAACGCTACGGAGCTGACGTCGATGCTCCGAACGCGTTTGGCTGGACTCCACTGCACGTAGCCATCGACCGAGGTCACCTTGAGCTGACGGACTACCTGCTGGGGGAAGGTGGTGCAGACGTCTCTCTAACCACTCCCGAGGGCTATACGGTACTCCATGTGGCTGCAATGAAGGGTCGAACTCACACTGCGGAGAAACTTCTGGAGCGTGGGGTAGTGCCCCCTTCTACGGTAGAAAGCTGTTTGGATAAAGAGGGCTACGTGCCCTCTCCTCTCTACCTCGCAGCCTTCTACCACCATGAGGGGATTTTGCAGCGGTTCAAAAAGTGTCACGAGATCTCAGAGTCAGTTTGGCATGACGTGCAGTTGCTCAAATCCGCGCGAGACCCAGGAAGGAGCACTGCTAGTCTTGAAAAATACCTCGACTCTGTGCGTGTGTTGGAGAGATGCATGGGCCCTCGGGATCCCTCTCTGTTCTGGGAGCTGTCCAAACTGGCGACCGACCTCTGGCAAATGATCCACACCTTTGAATCAGGTGGACAAGTCAACGAAGAGGCAGTCATTTCTTGGCTGGCTCAAGGTCTTAACGTCGGAGCCGTGTGGAGTGCTGTACAAGCGATCCTGATGAAGTCTCTGGAGCTGTACGAGAAGAACCAGCTGGTGTCTCTCGGACGTGGTCATCTGCTTCCACAGAGCGTGGCCGAAGAGGTTGGGAGGTGGGGCTTGGAATGTTTGATCCTCCACTCATTGAGGAGACGCGATGGGTCCGTGGTTTACCCAGACTTTTGTAGGTTCACTGAGTTTCTTCTAAACGTCCTCAACCAAACCCAAGAGCAATCCAGGGCCCTGAGAAAAGAATTTGGGTGTGAAGAAGATCTACCACAGAGCCTACTGTCCAGTCTGTTTCGATGTTTCCAGGGCTGGCTGGCTGTCATCAATCAACCCCTCACACCCAATGCAACGGTAGAGCCGCATTACAGGGCAGAGCGAGGCCGATGCCACGAGCTGGGGAGGAGGTTTGTGTCCCTAGCTCTCTATCTTCCAGAGGGGAAGACCCTGCTCTGGGCACTTATGGGAAGGGGCGTCTTCTACACCGGTATGGTATATCCATCAACCTATCTGTTGGAGTCACTGTTGGAATGGGGTGCAAGTGAAGTAATCAATGTGGCATGTCCCCCTAGTGGGGACACCCCACTTCACAGACTCTGCTCTATGTCTGGTACCAGCTGGACACTCTATGTAGGGCTGTCTCTGGTGTTGGTGAACCACGGAGCCCATCTCGACATGGTAAACAGGTTCGGGGAGACGGCACACGACATAATCTCCCGAAGATATCAGCTGTATGATGGCACCATCTCTGAGGAGTTGACTCAATTGCAGCCTCCCGTCCCTCCCAGCTTATCGTGTCTCGTCTCTTGCAGGCTCGTCGAGTGGGGCGTGGCCAGCTCACCAAAATTACAGGAGTTCTTGCCCAAAATGGTGATAAGATATGTCAGACTTCACGACAACACCAGAACGACAGTATAAAGAGCACCAGCTGGCCTTACAGGAGCAGGCAAAGAAAGTCCTAAACTTTGCATCGAATAATTTGCTGTCTCATGTGAGACGTGTAGTTTCTTCTTAATGCCACATCACCAGAAATGCATATATATCCGCCAATTAAACATTACTGTTGTTAGTTGGGTGAAATATTTATACAGACATGATATGGAGTCGAGTGACTACACACAACACACGCAATATCATATTATAGAGACTAAGTATAGTCGGTGATGAAAGGCTAAAGGGAATAGACCTCGGTCCTGGCGTTTCGGTACTCCTCTGGGCAAAAGTTGGGCCGTAAGGGAAACAGTTTATGTAGCCGCATTCGGGGCAGAAGGAGGGGTTGGGGATGAGGTAGAAGGTGGTGAGTCCTGACAAAAACAGCAGGAAGAGGAGCGGGGCGCATATGGCCAGGAGAATCCGCTTCCGAATGGCGTCCAGTTTACCAAACGTGATGTACGGGACGAAAATTATGGCCGCCACCACACCAAACAGGAGACCACCTGCGTATAGCATTATGCAACACAGTATCAATAGCTTGTGAAACACACGACAACCCTCTGAAGCCCGTGTTGTTAGCATACATTGATTCAATGTGCACTACACCATCCTAATTTGTACGTATTACTGCCCTGTACACTAGTGTATTATGTACATACACATACACACCAATGTGAGCCATGTTGTCGATGAATGGCAAGGTCCCGAGGGCCAGGAGGAAAACGACAAAGCCGAGCAGTTTGACCAGCTCCAGGGGAGCCCTGTCCACTATCTGCCAGAACTGAAACAGCTCCACAAACAGGACACCAATGAGTCCAAACACTGCTCCAGACGCCCCGGCATTCACACCGTACGGAACGAAAATGCCGCTCACCTACGAGTGTGATAGTGTGTGTGTGTGTGTGTGTTGTGTAAATGTAAACCTGAAAGTTTTGGTCCCAATATCATCACAATGGGTTTGTTGGACCCCACAGTGCGATGTGAAGTCACCGGGCGGATGATATGGCTTGGATTTACATCACGTTTGGCCCTCTGAAAACACTGTGCAATGTCACAGAGAAGAGATAGTGATGTTGAAACGTTGTGTGACTTCACATTGTGTCGTGTTGCCAGCTCCAGCAAGTACGTGTTGTGAGCAGGGACTTAGGCATTTCCGTTTCAGATGTTCACACACACATGTTTACCCTACCCTTCTCCTCCCACCCCACTCACTATATTCCCTCCCACGCCAGCAATGAGATAGATGATCCCCGTCCTCAGCCAGCCAATGGTCCGCTCGATCTTGAACCCAATGTACAGCTGGACGGGCATGATGAGCACAATGTGAATCACCCCGAGGTGAATGAAGATGGACAGGAAGAACCGCCAGAACTGGTTGGCGTTCGGGAGGTAGGGGGTCCCCGAGTCGGCTCCCACGCTTGCTCCGTTGAACCCGCAGACCTCCTCCATGCAGTTCACCTCCAGACAGCTGCCGAAGTTCAGGTGGAACTCCCCACCGCGTGCGTCGCACTCCTCCTTGCTCGTCACCAGACACCGACCGGTGATGGAGACGCAGCAGGGGTGAAAGGTGGCCGAGCCGGCGGGGCAGGGACCGGTGTTGTAGGCTATGTCGGAGAGGTTCCCCTCGTTCACGGTGCAATTGACGGTCCCCGAGAAGCAGGAGCAGTCCTGGGTCCTGATGGTGTCTCCCACGTTGTCCTGGTTCTTGCAGCACCCGATGGTGTCCTCGTTGTCGCCGTAGAACTCCGTGTTCCTGTCGCGGATCTCAAAGTCTCGGCGCATGCATGGTGTGAACTTGGCGCCAATTCGAATCAGCTCCTTCGGAGGCAGACCGATCCACAGGTTAACCGCTTCGAAGTAAGTGACGCGCTCGGTGGCATTCGTGGAGTTAGACCGCAGTGAGGGGAAGAATTCAGAGTGTCTTATGGGAGTGCCACGAATAGGGGCGACCCCTCCGTTAATGGAGATGAGGACGATAAGCGCCACGATCTGGAGGCAGCTCATGACGATGATGAACCAGGGGGTGAACGAGGGGAGGGATTCCACCTTGTGCTGCACGAGGGTGCTCTGCCGTTGCAGCTTCGTGTTCTTCTTCCTCTTCTTGTGACGTCGGAGCTCCACCGGTTCGGAGCTGGAGCCGAGCCGGTCTCGTCTGATGGAGCCACGACGACCCACCTCATCCACAGTGGGGTTGGCATTTGATTCAGCGGCGGCTATACAATGCACACATTATACACACACACACAAGCACAGTTGAATGGAGAAACGTACCATTCACACTTCCAAAGAATTCGAAAGCTCCCTGGTGGTGTCTCCGCTGCCTCAGGTTACGTTCGGCCTGTATATATACACATACACACTGAATTACGTATAATTATGTGCATGCTAGCCGGAAAAATAAAGGGCAAGGCACAAAATTTCATGGATCAGCAGATTTTTGTAAACAATATGAGGCTACCATACTAAAAGGTCTTCTTTACAGAGGATAGTTTTGCAGATAGTAGATCGAACAATTGGGGCTAGCATAACACACCTTCACAAACTTTAGGTAGTAGTTCCAAGCATCAGTGGGATCGTAGATGAAGTCTGTTGATCTTGCTGCCGGTGTTTGCTGGGCCGGCCGGCTGGGAGCTGAGGGAGGAAGACAGACAGACGAAAGAGAGTGACAGAGACAGTGGAGGGAGAGGTGAATGGAAGCGAGGAGAAGAGTGGAGAGAGTGGCTTGCTCACGAGGGTACTGTTGCATGGTGATGGGAGGGGTCTGCGGAGTCAGGAGGGCAGCGGTTGAACTCTGTGAGAAGAACTGCTGTCCGCCACTGTTGGGGACCTGGTGGGACGAGGAGTGGACCTCTGCCATCACAACTGTTGACTGGTGAGGGGGCAATGCAGGAGGACGCTCCGAACTGTGGGGTGGACACAAATCACCCAACCTCAGTGTACCATGAAAACACAGCACATGGTTGAGAAAAACTCGAGCATTTGTGTCCTACTTCCTGTTACGCAGCTCTAGCTTTGTACTCTCACAGAGAAACAGGCTTCTTCTTCTTGCATGCTTGGCTACTTGCCATCTCAAAATGAGAGAGCCTGGTGCAGAGTTCTGCGTACCACAATTGCCAAGACTAGGTGAACTTTATACCAATCACATGTGGCTCACACTGACTCCACCCATACACTCAAACGCTAGGTCAAGGTGTGTGAAAGAGAGGCTCACCTGACCACGTCCTGATAGTCAGGAGGTGCAGCAACAAACAGGTTGTCATCCTCCTCGCTGCTGTCACTCAGCTCGGCGGGGTCGAACGAACGACCTCCGCCTGTAGCCACTGTCACCGACGGAGGACCTGCATTCAAACAGGACAGGGAAAGAAAGAAGTACGCACAACACAACACCTATTAACACACGTACACACACACACAACAACAGCCAATTCAGTCAATTCACAGGTGTAGCATAAACACAATGAGAGCTTATTGTTTACATAATGCACGTGTAGAAACGTACTAGAGTTCACTTCAGTGCATAAAACAGCGGTGCATCGTGGTGACACAATGTCATGTCGTTAACCCATGTATAACACATGTATAAATGTAACCACGATACCTGGGTACTCGGGGGGTGGCTCTTCTGCCAGACCGGTGCGGAAGGACAGACGGCGACCGATGGAGAAGGTTTCTTCTGCACTTGCCGGCCCCACCTGAGCCCAGCCTGCCTGCTCCACCGTCCCAAACTGAGACTGATCCGTGACACCAAAGAAGTTTCCGATGGCTCGGCCGAGAGAGGCACCGCCTCGCACCAGGGTCTGACCTGTACGTATTTTGTGTGTGTGGGCACAATTTGGAAGATATAAGTCGAGTGCCATCCCTACTGTTGATAGTATATGGAAATGTGAAAATGCCTAGGATACCAGTTAGTCAACCGACCATTACGAAATACACACACACGCGCACACATACACACACTCCATCCACTTTTGGCAGCCACAATTTGCTGATAACAAACACCAGAGACTGCCTTCCCATCTCACCATTATTACTCTCTCTTCTTTCTCACTCCCATTTCCCTCAGCTCACCCCAGCTGGTGGTGGGTTCCATAGGGACTTCGTCGTCAGTAGTGTAGCCCACTACAGTCACCACCTCGGGACTGTCCACAAACCCCACGCTCCTGGACGACTGTACTATACCACCACCACCGCCAGTGGTTCTGGCATTGGTGGTGGGGCCTGAGGACTGCTGCTGGGTGTGGTAGGGCGGAGGGGGGAGAGGGATGTGGCTGCTGGAGCTAGTCGGAGACACCGCATCCTCTCTGTACCCCACTCCGGGGACGTAGTTCAGGTTACTGTGGATCAGCACCTGAGCATGCGTGGGAGGGAGGAAATTTCTAAATCAGGGGAACATATCGGGACATTAGAGAGTGGAGTAGGAGTTTTTCATGTACTGTACGTGCATCCAATGAGGTATATTGATGTTGAGGTGAAAATCATTCGAAGAGGGCTAATTTCTCCCTCTACCCCTCTTCCAGAGAATGTTATCATCGTTGCTTGTGTATTATATATATTTGGTGCTAAGTGGACTTACTTTCAGTATCCGCTATCACTGAATGTCAACCCTATGTACGTACATTATGTATGCACACATAATAATGGGTATGTAGGTGGAACATGGCTCAGGTGTTCAGACAAACACGTTAAATTGCCACTTTCAGTGACTCATTACGGTGTGTGGAGGTGTGGAGGGAGGTACACCCAGGGCTCGGATGACATGCATGTCTTTATGCATGGTGTGATCACATGAGTAACTCTTTATGGCGAGGTGAACCGTTTTAGGACCCACACATTTCTATGAGCATATTCATGACACACTCTCTCTCCTCACCAGCTATTGATATGTCCTCTGTAGTGTCAACAACACTAATTTCCCAATCTACAACACACAGTGTCTAATATTGACAATCTACAACACATAGTGTCTAAGGGATTGCAATGCATGACGAACTCACTTGTAAGAACTGCTGCCAGGATACGGTTCCCGTGGTGCTGAGTCTCCCGAACTCGGAGGAGAGGTAGTGAGGAGGCGGCTGGGGGAGGCCAGCGGACAGGAGACACGCCTCTGCCGCCGGCTCGAACTCCTCCAGTCGCAGTCCCTCCTCCGCCGAGCGCTCTCGGAAGATCTGACGAAACTTCTGGATCTGATCGGCCGTGTAGGACGCCATGGCTGCCCCAAACGGCTTCGCATTCAGTATAGCAGACGATGAGACACACACAACTGCTGCCGCTGCGCGCTGGCTTGCGCTTTTGTGAGAAGGGGCCGATCTGCATTTTGCGCATGCGTAAGAAGTGAATTACGTAATCTATTTACATGACCTTTTGCGCGACCTCTGCCGATTCCTGGAAATCGAATGGCCGAGGTGAGTGCTGGGAAGAAGTCGACACTTGGCCTTGCGTCAAGGTCCAGGGGCACTTATCTCTGTCATATGTTGTGTATAAAAGATGCTAGACTACAAGCATGGTCAGGCCACGTCGTCGGGGACCGAATCTGGAGCCCCAAGAATTTGTGATATTTGCCTGTTGTCTTTTTTCAGGATCGCCAGCACCAACCACGGGTCAGACTGAGACGGAGCAAACGACTGCGTCTCGCATCTCCAGCCGCCACCACCTTGTCTTCGTCACGGCTCTCTTCCTGCTCCCGGTATGTTGTCTCACGTGACTCTTCCGTTCGCACATGCAATGATGAACCATCTCTGTGTCTCGGCAGCGGAGGTGACGGTAACAACTGGAGAGGGAGGATGGGGGAGAGAGCCGGTGAGATGTTCTCCGACCTCACTCGCAGGGCCATATCAATCAGCAGTAGTGAAGGTCTCTCCAGTCCAGGTATCTAATGCACCAATGAGTAGTTACACCTTTCCCCAAGATGTCTGCACTTGAATCCCTCAAATAAGGATAACACCACTAAGTAGTATGGACATTTTCTTCGGTCCCATTGGTGCCCGGATTAAACCTGGCCTCGTCCTGTCACATACGGTCCGGCCATTGTGAACATGAGCTGCACACAACTGCTGAGATGTGACTAGCCTTGCATGTATGTACATCCATGTGTGCGCGTGTGCAGGTGGTGCAGGAGGTGGGGTGGTGGACCTTACAAACGACAGTGGAGTGGAAGACGAGCTAGTGGACCTAACTTCTCCTGTGAGTTCTTCAGTGAATTTGTGTATGTGTGTGTGTTTGACAGTTGCTATCTTTGCTCTCTGTATATCCTTCCACTACCTCAAAGGTTACTGGTCTAGGTAAGTACAAATATTACACCACTAATTATGAGAAGCCGTGAACTTCTTTGATTAGTAGAATTTAGCAACGAAAATATTGGCAGATGGTTTTTTAGAAAAGTTGTGTTTGACTCTGACAATGATTATTCCATTAAAGTTTTTCTGTGCACTATTCAGAGCAGTGTGTCTTGTGTTTTGTAACTGTGCTGTTCTATCTGCAGACCTCAATGGAAGACCAAACTGTGGGAGGGAGAGAGGGAGGAGGAGGCTACGGGGGGACGTGGTGGTGCTAGACGATGAGTCAGACGAGTCGGCAGCAGACGAGGTCCAGATCATGGAGCCAGCGAGACCATTACCTCACTCCAGCAAGTTAGCTCAGAGAGTGGCCATCTTATTCCCTCTTTTCGGGAAGTATATATACTGATGTGTTAAACATCACTCTATGGTACCACATGTCTGTAGAACTGCAGTTCATGACCTATCATAACAGTGCAAGTTATTCATCTTGAAAGTTTGATGCACCTATTTTTCAGATAATAGCAATCTTCTCTCTACTATCACAGGCCAGAGACGACCTCAGCAGAAACCCCAACAGCATCCTCCGTGGCCAGCCCGACAAAGAGCCTGATCAAGTGTCCGATATGCATGGAGAACGCGGCCACGTTTGAGCGAAGGGGGTCCCAAGTGGCCGTCACCACCTGCGGCCACGTCTTCTGCGGTGCCTGCATACGA